AGCGTTTATATTCACAGTGGGAAAAGCAAGCTCAAAACTATGTAAAACCGAAGATACGGCACCAAGACAAACTGGATTGTCAATATGTAACTGTCGGTTTTAACGAGATGCAAAAATAAGCTGAGGACATTATGCTAGTTCTAAATCAGTAATGTGCCCCTTCATGTTTTAGAAATTATGACGGTTGAGACGAGGTATGTTGATGTTTAGTGCGCATCAAGGATATCGCGAAACGGGCTAAAGCCTTGGCAAGTGATTCTGTCCGACGGAGCTTCAGCTGGTAATGTCTTCAAAAGATGAAACGAATGCTACAGTGGCCAGTAGGCCGATCACCAGACGTTGCATACTGGTCAAAGCAACTGGAAAAGTTCCTGACTTGCACAGATGGAGAACCATACCATGGATTTCAACTGATTCAAAATATCCCAAGTAAGCAATTATGCCAGGCCTCCCAGTTTTTGGAGTTTACTTGCAAGTTGTAGATCCGTTGCGCTAATATTTAAATGATTCAATGCGTCCGAGACTCGCGGCATGTGCACTCAATGTTCGCCTAAAGCCACAAACTTTTGCTAACGCAATTTAACTACCTGCCCGGGCAGGAAGGGGAATTTCTCGATGGTGGCGACATAAATGTGCGAGAAAAATACATTACCAAAGAATTTTGATTTGGATGAACAGCTGACGATGACGGTTCAATGCTGATTATTGAATGACGCGGTGATGCGCTATCAAAAGACCCGAACATTAAAGCACCTTCTTCATCGCCACTATCCACGTCGTGATTATAGCTGTAATGAACACGGATTAAACATTCATCGAAACAATCTGGAGCTCTGTTCACGGGGAAAACCAGCCGCCCACCAACCTAATACTTTGGCTGCATTAGCCAAAAGTCGAAATCACTGTCTTATTCGCAATGTATATGATGAAGTGGCATTCGAAAATATCTCGGGTACTAGCACGCAAAAAAAGCCCTCTCGGCGGCTTACACTTTCGACGGTGGCTCAAAAGCAAGCTGGTGCCGAAGTTCCAACTCTCCTGTATGCGCCAGTAAAAACCTGCCATTTAAGCGAGTGATCGAAGTGTTAAAGGACTGGTTGGCCCACTGACGGAGTCTAACCTTCAACCTTCAGGTCAAAAATAGCGCTACTGCATCGTGCTCTCCCGTATTTGACGCAGTTATGAGAAATTTTATCTCTTCTAAAAACATACAAAGCATATTTCTGACAAAATTATAGGATAATTTAATAAAACTGATATTTTGCGAAAAATGGCCATAATATGTAATCAATATTTATCACTAATTTACCAATATTGTTGTCGCGGAAAAAAAAAATGCCCTTTACAATGGTTATTTCTAACAGCCAATAATCAAACAAATGAGTTAAAAACGAACCGGTCAGTTCGAGTGTCAAAATAGGATGTATCTTCTTCACCCTCGAGCTGTGGCACAAATTCCGCTTTTTGTCGTAGCAGCGATTTAAAATCTAAGCCAGCGAAGAATGGATCAAGCATCAACTAAAAGCTGCTCGTTTATGGAATGCCAGGTCATTACAAAACAATCAAAAATTGGAATACAAGATGCATCACTGCCATC